AATGCCAAGAAATTTTTGTTTCTGAATGGCAGCTACAAACTTAGAAGACAAAAGAGGTGGAAAAGATGATTACCTGGTTGTGAATGCCATGTATGATCCTCATCATTATTTTGTCCATCCATATCACACGATTTAACATCTTCATCTAATCTTGTACAAAAATAATAATTATGGTAGCATTGGTGAGAAAACAGTGAATTTTCAAACTTGTGCTAGCTAAGACTTGTGGTTCCAGCAACAAAAAAAAAATACAAGTACAGGATCAGCTTCTTACTCGATTATGGAAGTAAACCACATACTGTGATCTCAGAAAAGGTGGAGGAAAAAAATCTGAACTACTGAACTTAGCTAGGCATTGATATGAGTTAGAAGCTCTAATTATATAATGGCTTTATTTCTGTCTTTAAAGCATGAGCCTAAAAAACACTTCCCATCTCAGAAAAGGTGGAGGAAAAAAATCTAAACTACTGAACTTAGCTAGGCATTGATATGAGTTAGAAGCTCTAATTATATAATGGCTTTCTTTCAGTCTTTAAAGCATGAGCCACAAAAACACCGCCCATCTCCTATCGTTGTGTTGCATATAGCACACAAATGTTACTACTGCCAGTTACACTTAGAACTTTGAAAGTATGTGATTCTTCATCCACCACCAAATCTAGCACAAATGATGGAACTATATAAACCAATTACAGAAAACTTAGTACTGAAGATCCACTGGAACCAGATTTAGTATGTACAAAATTTTTAAAGCGAGTGGAACCATAAATTACCTTAGTGAAGGTGACATGATGGAATTTGCAGCACTTTACAGCTCACTGAGCCAGCCAAACGAATGAAGGCAGCTCTGTCCTACTCCAAGACATTGAAAAGCAGAGCAGCATATATGACTAACAATATATATATACACCTGTGATTAGATCAGATCCGAATACAAATAGTTCAAGAAAGAAAAATCACTAACAACGTTGTTATATTTGTGAGCTGATTAAACAAATCATTGTTGCTCATATCCCTGCAGAACACTAAAGTACAATTAAGACCAGAAAATGACATGTTCTCTGTAAACATCCGAGCATTGACATTTAAGAGAGCATGTGAGATATAAATTACAGCTAAACTAGCACAGTTAGCTGGTTCATGTTATAGCCCAAGGTGTCCTTAAGCCGCATCCCAGGTAACTGAATACAACATCCCTAAATTCCAGTATCTCTTTTGTGCAATTATCTAAATTCAGTGGCTGAACCCAAAATTCATGATTCAATAAGAAAATTTCCTAGAGTTGTGGACAGCACACCTACCCAAATTTCATGAAACATTCATATGTAGGAACCTGATTTTTTTTCAGAATTCATACTTCTGCGGTCGCAATGGACTGACTAGAACTTGAAAGGTATAGCAATCACAACCTAGAAGAGCAAGCCATAGAACCTTTCCTCACTGCATAACCGATTGGGTATCGCATCGTGATGGGTAAGACGCTGCGACCCGTGTGAGGTGTTGCGCACGCGCTGCCGGAGGGGCCGCAGCCTGCCCACCGCGCCGCCATCACCGTCGTGGATGTGCGGATCTAGGTCGTGCTCACCGGATCCCGCCTCCACCATCGACGAATCCAACGAGGAGGGCCGGCGCACCAGCCACCGGATCTCGCCCCAGGAAGGGAAGGGAGCGGTGCGGCAAGGGAGAGGCACGGTCACACGGGGAGGGGCAACGGGAGCAGCCGGCGACCATCCGAGCGGCGTGGCTGACGTCCTGGGGCGGGCAGCCGGCGGGGGCCGACGGTCGGGGGCGGGCGGCCTGGCGGCGGGGCGGACGTCCGAGCCCGAGCAACCGGCGGGGGCAGGCGGCCGGCGGGGGCAGCCGGCAGGGGCGAGCAGCCGGGAGGGAGGGCGTCGGCCTTGTGTGGAGGCGTCGTGTGTAGAGGGGCAGCGGGAGCAGGGAGAAAGAGCCGTGTATTTGGTCTGGGTGGGAGATTTAACTTTTTACCATTGCAGCGTGCCTGTGCGTTGCTACGGGACAACTAAACTTTTGTACTAAAAATATATGGATCACACGATAAGATAACAATACTATAAAATTAAATACCGACGTTAAAGTGATATTTAATATAAAAAAACAAAGTTCATCAAATTAACATAGTCACGTAGAGCGCGGCGTCACATGCTCACAAACTCTACTGTATAGACATTTTCGTGATGCGGCTAAGATAATGTTTTATATCGGTAGAAAGAAATCTCCTATATCTGTTTCTTTCGTGCGCCAATAAATCTACAAATAAGTTCTATCGCATCTCCATACTATCTTTGCGGGTTTCTGAATGCTTCCTCGTCTACCTCGCTTTTGTAGAGTTGTTCGCTATAGGGAAAGAAGGAATCACACATGATTAAAAATGAGATAATCGCCACAACCAATACGTAATGTGATTATTTTTTGTTTTTAGAGATTTGTTTTTGGAAAGAAAAATCAGAGGGAGGGGCAGCGCAGCGAGGCGCGAGACCAGAAGGAAAACTACAAGCAATTCAAGACTCAAATCCGAGCGATCGTGGGGAGGAGGGATGGCAGGATTCGGTAGACCGATGACCAGAGGGATTTTTTCACACGATGACGGTGCCTGTGATTGAGCACGATTGGTTTTGGTTTCATGCCCGCGCGTTGCAACAGGAGCAACAAAACAAACACAATCAAGATGATGGTTCATGTCTATATGTTTCCATGTAATGTTTTTAGTGAACTCTTAAGATTGAACAAGATTAACACGTTGGTCTCCTCCCACGGTGTGGTACCAAGGCACCAGATCTGTCGACAGGGCCTGTTGGATGAGCGGGCGTGTGAGGCGGGAGTCATGGATCGGAGTGGGAGCGGGGTAGCAGAGGAGCTATGGTGTCGTTGAGGCCTACCGCGGCGGACGCCGAGACGTGGCGGTGGTAGGGAGCAGGCGAGCGTCAGGAGGGCCGCAAGGAAGAGGAGGCGGAGGTAAGAGAAGAGTGGGCATACCTATTGGGTGCTCGTCACTGACGAAGGGCCCGATGTAGACCTGAGCACCTTGCGTGCAACGATGGCATCTTCTCCTCCTCAGTGCTCCGTCCTAGGAGAAGGGAATGACAGGTGTGGGTCGGGCATGGGCGAGGTGGCGGCATAGGTTGAGGATGGCCTTGCGGCAGTGGCTCAGCCTTGTGGCGACGGCATGCCAGAGCGGAACGGGTCACGATGGCGTCGGCGACGTGCGGCGGTGCAGATAGGCGCCCCGACCCAATTTCCTGCGGCGAGCGCGACGGCGTGGGCGAGGGCAACGACGATGACGACGGTGCGGGCACGACGAGCGCAAGGGCAGAGCGAGGGGAGTGGGAGAGGCGTAGTGGAGAGGGATCGAGACCGGGGGCTACGGGAGAGAAGGGCAGAGCGAGGGGAGAGGTAGCGTGATTGGGGCTGCGGGATTGGGGCAGAGCGAGGGCTGCGGGATTGGGGGAAGCGGGGGTATCGCACGAAGCGGAATGATGACGACCCCAAACAAAGTCGCACGAAAAAATAGTCTTACTTTTGTTCTTTTTCGTTGTAGGAGATAAAGAATGGCATAGCATCTTAACGGTTGCCGCTACATTTTCACCAACAAAGACGGAAAATAGATAAAAACTACCACTTTTGCTCACGTGACACGCTAGTCCTTGCGCCAGCAGGGATCCAAGTCAGCATACGGGCGTCAAATGTCTCTCTTGCCCTGCTGGCGCCCGTATGCTGACTTGGATCCCTGTTGACACGAGGCTGGCGTGCCACATGAGCAAAAGTGGCATTTTTGTATTTGTTTTCCGTCTTTGCTGGTGAAAATGTAGCGGCCATCGTTGAGATGCTATCTGAGGAGGTGCCATTCTTTATAATGGTAAAAAGTTAAATCTCCCAGTCTGGGTTAGGGTTTACACGTGACTTATGGGCCAAAATTTTTGCTAGAGCGGGCTAAAAACATCGTGCCAATGGATATTGGTATTTAGCGACTTACGATCTGACTCAGTTACTTATATACAACGACTCACGATCCAACACAAAAGCAAAATATTTATAACAACGGACCATCCATAGTAGTATTTGATATTAGCAACCGATGGTCCGAGGACAAGATTTAGCGACTCACCGTTCAACGGTAATATCAACTTTTAGCAACAGACGTTAGATGCTATTATAGTGTTGTGGTGTAGTGAGTGTGTTTATCTAGATGTTGTATGTGTTTTCACACATATGTTGCAAGTATTTTTATTTGGATGTTGTGTATGTTTGCAATGGTTTTGAGTGCTTTTTAGTTGTTTTGTAAGTGTTTTAGACGCATGTTTCAAGTGTTTCATTTGTCTTCAGGCGTATGTTGCAAGTGTCGCATTCGGATGTTTCAAAAGTAGATCGGACGTTGCATCTCCCTTCTCACCTTCTGTTGCCTCGCCTCGGTGTCTCCTCCTCCTAGCGCCGGGCGGGCATCCGATACGATGCCGCTGCTGGGGCACACCATGGGTCCTTCCGAACCAGAGGCATATGTGGGCACCGCCCTCTCCCCTCTTCTCGATGCTGACATTCGGACGACGCGGCTCTCGTATGGGGCGCATGAAACGGAGCGCAGGTGGCCGGCGCTAGTAGTTTGGTGGAAACTTCCGGCACATGAAAAAGACCCAGCCCATTACTCTGGCCCGTTAAGTACCCTCGGTCATGCGGCTCAGCCCATGTGAGCACATGGCCCAGATCTGCACCCTCTTCTAGTCTTCTTCTGGAAAAAGAGACTTTTTTCCCTAGTTGCTTCCTCCCTCCGGCTCCCGCGCTTCTTCTTTCGCTCTTCCCGCGAAAATCCAATCCACCGCCCAAAACCACCACAAAAACCGATTCCGCTTCCACACCCACCTCCTGTCCTCATCTCTCCCTCACTCCAATCTCTCGTCTCCCATCCCGTGGTGGAGTAGGTTAGGTCCCCAATTTGCGTTCCCGTTGCCGGACCCCGACGACGCCGGTTGCTAAGCGAGCGAGAGGGCATGGCACCGCTGTCGTGGCGACACCACACCCTGCTGCAGGCGCTGCTCACCCGGGGCCCGCTCTTCGACCGTGACTTCCATGCTGTCTTCACCGCCATCTCCGGCAAGAACCCCGGTACGCCATTGTCACGCCCAGCTAGATGGATAGGTTGCGGCGGCACGCTGCATTTGGGAGCTGGCAGCGCGGCGTCGCCTCGGCGCGATAATGATAAAGACGAAGAGGATTTGGAACTGGTTTTTCTTATTCACGACCTCCCAACCACCCACACACAATGAGTATATGAATTCGGTCTTACAATAAAATGGGCCGAGCCAGACATAAAACCTCCCACGGCTCGTGGGCGACTAACATCGTGCCATTTCGGCTAGTGCGGCCCAATCCACGAAGATCACCGGAGGCTGGTCATGACATCTCCCCTCCTTAGCGAAAGTTAGCGCCCTCGTGATGCCGAAGCAATTGGCTGCAGCAGTGAGTGAGAGGTACATCCGCAAAGACGCTCCTAGGTGGCCCAATGTCTTTCGGATAGGACTCACATTTGCAACAAAGCAACCGGTACCACCCGGTGACCCACCAGATGAAGCCGTTGATCCAGTACCTAGGATGGTGGAAGATCTTCCAACATGTAGAGAAGCCTAAGTTCCTCATCAGTGAGACAGTGGTGTTCGGAGGTAAAGCCTTCTTAAGCCGAGAGACATGCAAAACATGATGAATGTGACTATTAGCGAGTGTAACTGAAGCTTGTATGCTACTTTACCGATGGTTTGGAGCACCAGATATGGTCGAAGTACTTGTAACTGAGCTTTTGGTTGGTACGACGAGCAACAGATTGTTGTATATGTGGTTGCAGCTTGACATAGACCCAATCGCCCACAGCAAAGGTTCTTTCTTGGCGATGCTTATCTGCCTGATGTTGCATGTGCTGCTGTGCCCGAGCGAGGTTCTATTGGATGTGGTTCATCATAGTATTTCTGGACTGAAGCCAGTCATCTAGATCAGAAACTGTGCAAGTGTCAGTGGATGTGATGCCGAAGTGTTTAGGTGGATGACCATACAAGGCTTCAAAGGGTGTGTGACCGTGTGCGGAATGGTAGGTCGTGTTATACCAAAACTCAGCCAATGGAATCCATTATGCCCACTTCTAGGGACAGGAATGTACCATGCAGCGGAGATATGTTTCAAGGCATTGATTCAATCGTTCGGTTTGGCCGTCGGTTTGTGGATGATAGGCAGAGCTCATATTAAGTGTTGTTTCTGTGAGCCTGAATAATTCTTGCCAAAGGGCATTAGTGAAGATTTTATCTCTATCAGAGATGATGATGGAAGGCAAGCCATGCAGTTTGTACACATGAGCTAAGAAGGCTTAGGCTACAGATAAGGCAGTATAGGGGTGGGATAAACAAATAAAGTGTGCATATTTTGTGAGTTTGTCAATGACCACAGGGATAGTATCAAAACTTTTGGATTTAGGCAAGCCCTCAATGAAATCTAGACTGATGGTGTGCCAAGCATGGGTAGGAACAGGTAGTGGTTGCAATAAACCAGGTAATTTACAGTGTTCAGGTTTAGCTTGGGCACATACCTCACAAGTATTAATGTAATCAGTGATAGACTGCTTCATATGTGGCCAGGCAAACAGTGATTTTACCTTGTGATATGTGGCTATAATGCCACTGTGTCCTCCCAAGCCACTAGAGTGAAGGGCCAATAAAACAGCTTGCTGTGCTTCCTTATGGTTCCCCAACCAGATTCTGTTTTTGTATTTGATCACCCCATCACTAAGAGTGAAGCCTTTGTCATTGGATCCAGTGATACTGAGCTCAGTGAGCAACTGCTTTGTTTGATCATCTTGCTGATACCCCTCCAAAATGATCTCCAACCACTTGGGAGTGCTTGCAGTGATAGCAGTCAAGACGACAGGCTTAGCTTGTCTGGAAAGAGCATCTACAGCTTTGTTGTCCAAACCCTTCTTATAAAGGATTTTGTACTGCAAGCCCAACAGCTTGATGAAGGCTTTTTGTTGCATACCTTCATGTAGCTTCTGCTCCCCTAGATGAATGAGGCTCCTATGATCAGTGACAATGGTAAATTCCTTGTGCTGGAGGTAAGGCTTCCACTTGGTGATGGCCAAAATGAGTGCCATGCACTCCTTCTCATATGTTGAGAGGGCTTGAGCTTTAGGGCCAAGAGCCTTGCTGAGGTAAGCCACTGGGTGTGAGTCCTGAGATAACACTGCACCTATGCTAGTGGATGAAGCGTCGGTCTCAACTGTGAAGGCCTTGGTGAAATTGGGTAAGGCTAGCACAGGTACTGAAATGAGAGCCTGCTTCAAGGTGTCAAAACATGTTTGCAGTTGAGGTGTCCAATGAAATAGAACATCCTTTTTCAATAGGTCAGTAAGAGGTCGACTTAGGATGCCATAATTCTTGATGAACTTCCTATAATAACTGGATAGACCGAGAAATCCTCTCAATTGTCTGGTGTCTGATGGTTGGGGCCAGTTAGCCACAACCTCAATCTTCTTAGGATCTATAGCCACACCCTACCCACTAATGATGTGCCCCAGATATTCTAACTGTTGCTGAGCAAAAGAACATTTAGACCTCTTAAGCAAAAGCTTATGATCATTGAGAATGTGGAAGACTTGCTGTAGATGATCCAGGTGAGCCTCCAATGTTGGACTGTAAATCAGTATGTCATCAACAAAGACCAGGACACATTTCCTCAATAGTGGCTGGAAGATAGTGTTCATCAAGGCTTGAAAGGTAGCTGGGGCATTTGTGAGTCCAAATGGCATGACTCGAAATTCCCAATGCCCACTGTGAGTATGGAATGCTGTTTTGGCCTCATCCTCAGGAGCTAACCTAATTTGATGATAGCCTGATCTCATATCTAACTTGGTGAACCAAGCTGCTCCATTCAACTCATCCAAAAGTTCATCGACCACTGGTAATGGATACTTGTTTTTGATAGTGATGTTGTTGAGTTGTCGATAATCCACACAAAAACGCCAACTGCCATCTTTCTTTTTGACCAAGATTACTGGAGAAGCAAAAGGACTGTGGCTGGGCCTAATGATGCCATTGGAGAGCATCTCTTTGATCTGACGCTCAATCTCATCTTTTTGTGTTGGGGAATATCTGTATGGCTTGACATTTACAGGTTTGACTCCAGGGATCAGAGGAATGTGGTGATCAAACTCCCTAGAGGGCGGCAAGGAATCTGGATCCTTGAAAAGGTGAGCCTGACTATCAACTAACTACTGTACTGGCACAGGAATCATGTCTAGAGGCAAAGGTGGTGTTGCTTGACACAAATGGATCAACTGAGCTATACCACCCTTCCTGATGAGGCCCTGTAATTTCCTAACTTTGATCTTGGGACAACTGGATACGGTATCTTTAATGCCCTTTAAGCTGATTCTGCTACCTGATAAGAGAACCGCAACAACTTCCTTTTCCAGTGTATCCACATGGGACTATGTTGTTCCAACCAGTCCATGCGTAACACCATGTCATAGTATTGCAAAGGCAACACACGAGCATCAGTTGTGAATGTGTGCCCCTGAGACCACCAGCTGAAGTTGAGTACCTGATGGGTGCTTTGAAGTTTGTCACCATTGGCCACAACGACTTGAATTGGAGGAGAAGGCTTCAGGACACAATTGAGGGCAGTTGCCGTGTTGGAGCTAATGAATGTGCAGGTGCTGCCCGAATCAATGAGGATAAGCAGTTGCTGATCTTGGACAATGCCATGGAGCTTGATTGTTTTCTTGCCTGAAACACCAACTTCTGCGGACTGAGACAGAGCAAACACTGCTTCCTCTTCATCACTAGAACCTGAATCATTCGGATCAGGCACACTGTCATCTGAGAGCAGCTCCATGAACTCTTCCAAGACATGCAAGGCTACTTTATCTGGACACTTATGGTGGTGACCCCATTTCTCGCCACACTTCATGCATAGACCTTGGGCACGCCGCTAAGCTCGCAATGTGGCTAGCTTGTCTTCCCACTTTGGTTTTGTGTCGGCGGCTGGTGATGCTCCCAGAACACCAGGAGCTGCGGCTGGCGGTGGTTTGCCAGGATACTTGTTGTAGTCACGATAATTGCGCTTGACAAAAAACTTTGGTTGAGATTCCAACACATCAGCCTACATAAGAGCCAATGACAAGGCCGCATCAACTATTCTCGGCTTGTGTAAAACAATAGCAGCACGGATTTCAGGATGCAAGCCTTGAAAAAAATTACTAACAAAAAACACATCATCTAAATGGTTGTTATGCACCAGCACTTTATGCATAACAGTTTGAAATCTATCATAATAATCTTGAACATCAGAGATTTGCTTAATGCTTAGTAATGCTTGCATGGAGTTATGATATAGATCTTTCCCAAATTTAGCTTCAATAGCAATGCAAAGATCTACCCAGTTATTCACCCCATGCTGAGCCTCATAGGTTTGTAACCATAAGGCAGCATGCCCTTTGAAATGTAAGGTACCATACTGAGCCCAGCGATGAACCGGGACATTGAACATATCAAAGTATTTTTTGGCTTTTTCTTTCCCGACTTTGGGATGAGACCCATCAAATTTGGGAAAACTGGGCCTTAGGTAAACGAGATTCAGGGTTTGTAGACGCAGTAGGATAATGAACTAGGGAGGTGGAGGGGGATAACTGACCATTGGCCAGGGGATGAGTGAGGATCAGAGTCCCCCTTCAGTCCCCTGAGGTGATGTGACGACGCCGTGGCCCATGGCCCGCCCCTCTTCCTCGCGCTTCGGGGCCGATGGCGGAGCGTTGTTCGCCTCCAACGCCTCCACGCGATGTGAGAGTCCGGATCTCCTTGGTTAACTCGTTGGAGAAGTTATCAACCTCCGGACGCCAACGATTGAAAGTCTCCATGAGGAGGAGCATGGACTTCATCTGGGCACCGAGCGAATCGAGCTTTTCCTCAGCCGTCGCCATGCGGGAGGTGAGGGTTGGTGGTTTGGGTTTGCGCGCCAGCGAGCAAGGTGACGAGAGTAGAGGTGGTGGCAAATCGATAGAAAATTAGGGATCTATCGAAGACGGTGGCGGGGAAGTGATTGTAGTGGCAGGAAACGGGCGGCGTAGTAGAAGTAGTGATGGTGGAGGTAGGGGAAGGTGGTGGTGGGCGAACTGAACGGCGACGAGGACGAATCGGGCGGCGGCGGCGATGGAGAAAATCCGATGTATGACCACGCAACACTCTGGATCCAACCGTCGGTAACGGGATTTTACGGATCCAGTATCAGCGGCGGATCGGAAGGCTTTGGTACCAAATGTCACGCCCAGCCAGATGGATAGGTTGCCGGCGTGCATGCGCGGCTGGGATCCCGGCGACGGCGCCGCCTCGAGCAGATAACAGAAAGACGAAGAGGATTTGGAACTGGGTTTTTCTTATTCGTTGACCTCCCAACCACCCACACAGCGAGTATATGAATTCGGTCTTACAATAAAACGGGCCGAGCCCAGACAAAACCTCCCCGCGGCTCGCAGGCCGGCTAACAGGCCATTTCAGCTAGTGCAGCCCAATCCACGAAGATCAGCCGGAGGCCTGGTCGTGACAGCCATCTGCCTGCTCGCCCACGGGCCACGGCCATCCATCTGTCTTATTATTATCTCCGCTCGCGGCGGCCCAGCTGCTCGACGAAATGCTCCTCTAGCGGATCAACCGGACTGCTGCTGTGCCGCTACTGCTTTTCCTTTGGAATGTTGTGTATGCATCTTATCTGTCTAACTGGTGGTGTTTTGATGAAATTTGAATACGAGCGTGGTTGGCTGTATGCTGTATCCTAGTTTTGTTATGCCATGCTGCCTGCTGTTTGCGACTCCGATCCTGCTGTTATTGTCCTTGATTCCTGCCTTTTTTAGTACTGATGTGCACTCTAGAATCTGGCATTACAATGGATACTGATATTTGCTTTCAGTTTTTACTCTTTCTTGTATGATCAAACAATAAGCCTATCATAAATTCATAATCATTGCATACTTGCATCGTCTGGCTGTCTTTAACAATAACCTTACCCGACTGTGAACCCAACTTTATTTTGGCCTAGATAGAAGAAGAGTTCCAGTTATCTGTATTTTGGCTGAGGTCTGGTTGATTGGCCAAACCATGTACATGTATGTATCTAGGACAAGTTTGGAAGACTGGTTAAGTGAGGATTTGGCCGAGGGGGATCAAACTTATATCTACTTGCGACAAAAATTACTCGGAGAAATGCTCCTATAGCAACCCAACCTGCTCTGTCGCTAGTGCTTTTTCTCCAAAATGTGGTATATGCATCTTTAGCTGTCTAATTGGTGGGTTCTGATGAAATCTAAATAAAAGCATGGTTGGTTGCATCCTAGTTTCGTTATGCGATGCTGTGTGGTGTTTACAAGTCTGATCCTGCTGTTATTATTCCTAGTTGCTGTAAAAACTCACCATTTGAGTACTTCCATGCATGTAGCCTCTAGTATTAAAAGTGGACACTGCTCTTGGCTTCCAGACTTTACTGTTTCATGGATGGTCAAACAATAAGCCTGTCACAATCACTTCATACTCACAACATCTGTCATCTAATTATCAAATGATAACTTCAGATGACATGGACCGAAAGTTATTTTGCCCTGAAAAGATAATTCTCATTCAGAGCTATTTTGCATTTTGGATGAGTTCTGGTACTCTGGTTGATTGGCTGAACCGTATATATGTAGGACAGGTTATGCAAGTGTGCTTTACTGAGTTTTAGGGGATTAAACCTAACTGAATTCAGTTTTTCCCAAGCTTCTTTTCTGCAGTCACTTATATCGCGTCCCATGGCTTGTAGCTACTCATCAGCAGCTGTTCAACGATACACTTCTCAAGCTCAACAAGGAGTTAGCATACCTGCAGTTTGAGTTGCGAGCATGCATGAACCAGTATGATGGAATGGTGTACTATAGAGTAGTGAATAACATTGCCAATGAAGAATCGAAGCTCAGAACAAAGTATTCTGTGCCACAAGTTGCATACTACAAGGGGCTGGTATGTGATAGCTTGCTTTGTATAGTTCAATCTGACGCTATGTACGCTGTGTCAACTTTCTTATATGCTCATGTAAAACTGTACCATCAATGGTTCTTGTGGCAGTTAGAAGCAGTTGTTCAGGAAGCTGGAAATGATGGGACCATAACCAGTATTGATGCTCTCAATGTGCGGCTTGACAACCAGGTTTGTTTTACAACCATTCTGGGCACATGATTCATAGGTTTTCATGTATTGATTCACCACACATGGTCTTATATGTGCCTGTGCTAAGTGGTCATGTGCTTGGAGTACCTTGAAATAATTATGCTTCACAAGCAATTAGCTAAGGCTACAATAGTTTCACATAATTACAGCATGTCATGCACTTGTTGGTGCTCTTTGTGGCATGGAATGGGAGCACTATGCCTACTGACTGCCAATCTTTATTGTGAATTGTGATGTGGTATCATGAGTTGTTGACTCTGCTCTGTTCCCAGGTCATAATTTTAGATGGGGGTTCACAGAACAGCCAATCTCGCCTTCCATCTTGCATTACGGACTTCAAACTGAGCCAGAAAGAGAAAACTATTGATGAACTGGTAAGGGATCGTTGGCTATCATACACCTCCACAGGCAAGATTGGTCTGGGCATCAGATCATTTCTTGATCTTCGAAGCTGGTTCCGTGGGAATGATATCCCATTGTGCGTTGTCTGCAATTAAGCTTGTATCAAGGTACGAATATGCAATGGTTATGTGGTTTTCACTAGCCTTGTTCATGTTTCTAATTCACTGTATAGTCTTTTCATGTTGCTGTGATTATTTTCTGTGTTCATATCAGGCTTCAAGTTGCCCTAATGAGGGATGCAACATAAGAATTCATGAGTACTGTTTGAAGAAGAAATTCTCACAGCGGAAGGTAGATGCCCAGTTATTAGTCCACTTGGTTACTCATGTTTCATTTTGAAGCCAAGGTTTGCTGTGTTGTTTGCATATGTAGGCTTCAAGAGCCTGCCCTGGCTGTGGCACTGAATGGCCCCGTCAGGAGGGCGAAGTCGATGGCGACGATGATGCAAACGAGCCTGGTGAAGATGGAGCCGCATCAGCCAACCGTTCTTCGAGGAAGAGACGCAAGGGAGTGAAAGCTGAACTGGTGCAAGATTGTCCTTCGAGGAAGAGACGCAAGGGAGTGAAAGCTGAACTGGTGGAAGATTGTTCTTCGAGGAAGAGACGCAAGGGAGTGAAAGCTGAACTGGTGGAAGATAATCACAATGCAGGGCCATTAACGGCGGCGGTTCCTAGGAGGGCGAGGAGCTTGAGAAGAGCGAAAGCCGAAGCAGTCGAAGCTGCTCAAGAGGCGTCTTCTGCAGGAGCTTCCAAGGCGGCCAGAGCTTCCAAAAGAAGGAAGAAGTGAATGGTGCGGGCTCATGGATGATAGGTAGTGAGTTTGCAGGCTCTCTTTTGTCGTGTACATACGGTGGATGGTGGCACCTGGTGGTAGTAGATGGTCCTTTTGGGTGTGGTGAGGGAAGGCTGCTGCGACTTCTAGTTGTGGCGTAATATGTATAGCCTCTACAAACTAGTAGAGTCCTGTGACAGTATCAGATCAACCTACACTGGTAGTAGATGGTCCTTGTGCTGGTACTCGTTTGGAATTAGTGAACGTATTAGAGTGCACTGAAAAGCTTGAACAAGGGATTATCTTGTCGCTTGTTAGTTCCAGATTCAGGCATGCTGTTTTGATCTTTGTTGCTTGCTTTGTTCGTCAGAGACAAGGTAAGAAACTGTGTGACAACACCTGCCATCTTTTTTCGTCGGTGCAGTTGTAGAAAGTCAATTAATAGAAAACGCGAGCAAAACTAAATCAGCATGACACGACTCGGCGACAAGTTGCTGGAAAACGAAAGCTAAGACGAGCACTACACCTACGAAGCTGACTGACGTCGTCAATGGTGACTTTTTAACTGAATTTTTAACTGAATGGTGACTTTTCAACAGCTACCTACGTCGTCAATGGTGACTTTTTAACTGAATTTTTTCTCTGCTATCAGATTCGCATAAGCTCTAGTAACACTGCCACTGACTATTTACTTTACTTTTGTAGTATATAATAGCTCACAGTATTCACATTGTTATATTCTCATATGGAAACTATTTTTTTTATTGAAGATGATACTCTCTCCTTTCCAAACTATAAAACATTTTGGCTTTTTTCGATATATAGTTTTTGCTACGCACTTAGATAGTACACATTATGTCTCGATACATACTAGTTATCTAGAAAAAGCCAAAATATCTTATAATTTGGAGCGGAAGGAGTGTATTCTTTCTAGATGTTGCTAGTCAGAATTAAAACGTTTGGTTTAAGTTAAGGTTAGATGGACTTATGCTTTTTACGAGGAAGTCTATGTGAAGCTAGCCAATCCTAGGTACTCTTGTTTGGCAGTTGAGAACATGTTTAAGTAAAGAAAAAAGGAGCTCGAGCAAGGAATCAGAGCATGTTGCTTGTTGACGTCGTATTCAAGTATCATAAATCATCACTGGCTTTCAGAACATGTTGCTTGTTACGTGTTGATCTTTTTTCACTCGTTTGCTTTTGCTTCGTTGTTACTCTTCCTAGCTTTCAGAAATTACTGGCTTCTCAACTCTCTGATCAAGGCCAGACATGTCTAGCTCAACAATGGCTCACGCCTTGTTTAGTTGGACCCCAAAGTCCAAAAAGTTGCTACAGTACTTGTCACATCGAATGTTTGCGGCCTGTGCATGGAGCATTAAATGTAGACGAAAATAAAAACTAATTGCATAGTTTGGTGGGAAATTGCGAGACGAACGTTTTGAGCCTAATTAGTCCATGTTTGAACACTATTTGCCAAATAAAAACGAACGTGCTACAGTAGCCCCAAAATCCAAATTCACCCAACTAAACAAGGGCTCAGTCAGATTTTTTCTCGAATACTCAAGAAAGTTGTATATCATTATATTAAAAAAAAAAGAGACAAGCCTTTACATAACATCACATACACCAAAAAACAAACACAAAAAAATGAACTTATGAATCACCTTTTGCGCCAAGAAAAGATAAGGATATGATAGCAGCCTAAAAATGACACTCTACTTTGACGTTTGAGCGAAAAGGTAAGAAGTACTTGTAGCCCCAGATGAAACCCACAAATGAATTTCCTTGCTAGTGAGCATTAAAGCTATAGCCAAAAAAGAGGTACATCATAAAGAAACACATCTACTTTGCAGCCGCTTTTACTAGATGCTTGTCTGTTTTATCTAGGTTGATACTTAGCCACCACGGGCTTTTTTTTTTACAGGTAACCATTATGTTGATGTATCATATTTTTACAAGCTCAGTTGGTAGGTTTTGAGTGTTTAGGGCAGTTATTCTTTCTTTTCTTCCTTTTTCTTGTTCTTATGTTTATTCTAGGTCACTCACCACTAGCTTGGTGGTTTGTAATATGTGCTATGAGGATTCTCTTGTAGCTGTGTTGTGTAATTTTTTTTCTCTTAATAAAAAACGGGCTATATTCTCCGATCGTGAAAAAAATAAAAAACACATCTATTCGGGTGATTTGAAATGGTTCAAGTCCCGGTCAGAATAAAGACATTATTTGGAGAACTTAAACAAATCGCGCCGAGCAGTTACGCCTGATGCCAATAAATTAAATAGGCCACATATAACATCCTCGGCCCTTACCATCTTCCCAATGGACTAAACAGAACAGATATAACGAATCGATCATTTAACGTCTCAAAATATAAAAACTGTTGGTGCATTGTCACTGTGCTTCAAATCAAATGGACCTCTCTTCCAGATTGGTATGAATAATCACTCCAGGCCTGAATAATGGCGTCTGACTTGGTTATTTATGAAAATGAATGGAGAACAGCTGCTTAATTTGTTGATCCCTGGAGTTACTTGCTTGACGTGCTCTGCTTATATTAATTTGCTGATGCAATGCAACTAAAGCTAGCTAGAGCCAGAGCACCGCGACAGGTTCCTTTTTTTTTATTTGAAAAAAGAAAAATCAGCGATATGCCTGCCCTCAAATCTCATTTCGTTTCTTTACTCCTCCGTTCACAATAAAACTGGCTATTTCATTTCGTTATTTTAGGATATGATTTTTACAGACAATTACTCCCTTTTCTGCTGCAGAACAGACAATATAATACCCCATTAATGTCATTTATGTGATATATAAAATCATAATCATAAATAAGTAATTTTTAATACAATTCTAATAGAGAAAATAAATTGCATCATTCACGTGTTGCACTATTTTTTTCTTTGTCAGACAGGTTTAACAATCCCAGATGACGACGCAGTGCTGAGACGGTAGCAAAAGTCCAGTTTGGGCTAAAAAATCAGTAGGTGACGTGAGGGTAATGGGTACACGCATGAAAACGCTCCTTTTGTTGAATGGTTCATCGCTCACGTCGCACCAGCTGGTTTTTGAGCCTTAAGTGCTAAGCTACAGGCTGACATTTCCTAAATAAATAAAGAAAAAGGATAACGTTTAGAGAGTTTGGAGGAAGTATAAGATATGAACTAACATTTTGTCATTTTCTAAAAAGTTGTAACTAAAAAAAAGGAAAGCTCAATCTCATCTTAGAATTTTAGAGGGAACTGGAACCTATATTTTGGTGCATTTTATTATGCTAGTATAGGAGACCAGGAATACTCATGTGCTTTACAGCCTCATAACATTTCCTTTGCTTATAGACCTTAGTTGTTATAAAACGTTTGAAAATATAATTCTATTGATGCATATATTTTGGAATATGGAGACTGGAGAGAGAGAGAGAGAGAGAGAGAGAGAGAGAGAGTAATCATTGGTCAAAATTTACCAACATTCGAATCTTTTTTTTTTCCAAATCTTAGAGCATCTCCAAGAGGCTCTTCATATCCTTCTAAATGCTAGGAATAGAGATTTTGGTGAAAAACTACCTCCAACAACTTATCTAAATGGTTATTCAAATATAGCCATCTTCTATTCCTTCTTTTTTGATAGCCAAAAATAGAAGACAAGAATGACTCTCTAGAGTGTGCATGAGATATAAAAGAACTGTTGGAGAATAAAAAAAATATAGAAAACGATTATTATGCAAATGACTCTCCAAATGATGATTTAGAGAGTGAAATTTAGAAAGGCTCTTGGAGATGCTCTTAATACACCATAAATTTTGGAATATGGGGGTACTCCATCTATTCTAAATTGTTAGTTGTTTTGACTTTTCAAACTTTTTTAAGTTTAACCGAATTTCTAGAAAATGACACTAATATTTATGGCACCAAATTAGCTAGTATCATTATATTAGATACAACATGATATATTTTTCATATCGTCTCATAAATTTTTGTGTTTTTTTCTCTATAAATTCGACCAAACCTAAAAGTTTTGACTTAAAGGCAACTCTAAGTAATTGTATTTGTGGATAAGGAGAGTAGTTTTTTACTTTGTATATGTATATACACATATAACGTATATCTAGGTGGATAGGAAAAATAAGATTATGTATCTAAACCCTAAAACGATGAAAATAAAGTTTGGAACGGAAGGGAGTAACATTTAGATCTAGTGACTACGTGCAAAATTCATTTGTGACACAAAAACTGAAGCAACACGTTGCTGCCTATGCGAGTATGCGATGCGACACCCCAGCACAGGGCCATGGAGACATGTATGGACAAACAGTCGCTCGGCCACTGTTATCTTGGTTAGTACTACTATCCTTACATGTGTGGATACTTTGGGACAGATGAAATTAAAACTAGCATCATCATAGATTCATAGTTTCAGGACAGGATAAAATTAGCACTACATAGCAAAATTCTTTGCAGCCAGCTTGCAATTTATAAATGCAATATATATATATATATATATATATATATATATATATATATATATATATATATATATATATATATAGTTTTCAAAACACAATAAAACGCCAAGCAACAAGACGCGACTTGGTAATAAGTTGGTGACAGCACAAGCAAGACAAGAACTACACAACGAGTACACGAGCTGACTGACTTTGGCCACAGACTAGTACGTACAGAGTGCAGAAATGCACCGCCGGTTCAACAGCCAGTTACATCAACAGTGACTGAACTGAAATTTTTCTCCATCTTCACATTCACAGCAGCAACCCTCAGTACACAGCGAAATGCATGCTCCGGTTATTTATTTCATCCTCTTTTGTACAATATAATATAATACGGCAAAAAATATATATAGAGGAAGTTACAATATAATACTACTGAATTGCTACTGTGTGCATTAACATGAAACCCAAATTAAATACGCTCAAAAAAATCCATTTGTGACACAAGAACTGAAGCAACAGGTTGCTCTATGCGAGTATGCGACACCCCAGCACAGGGCCATGGAGACATGGACAAACAGCCGCTCGGGCACTATTCGTAGCAAAAATCCTTTGCACCCAACTTGAAATTTATAAAACGCCACCAAGCTCATACAAAAGACACATTTTTTCTTTTGAAAACACACAATAAAACGCCAAGCAAGACGCGACTTGGCAATAAGTTGGTGACAGCACAAGCAGGACAAGATCGAACTACACTACATCAACAGCTGACTGACTTTGGCCACTGAAATGTACAGAGTCCATCTTCACGCCGGTTCTGCACTCACAGCAGCAGTTCAACCCTCAGTTACATCAACAGGACACAACGAAATCTTCACATTGCTCCAGGGTCATTTGCTTGCTCCTTATTTTTTAGTACAATATTATAATATAATACAGCAAAAAAAATATAGAGAGGAAGTTACAATTAATATAATACTACTGAATTACTACTGTCTACGTCAAACCCAAATTAAATATGCTCAAAAAAATCCCTATAACTCAATTTATCTTCACAGCCAAGTAACCACAGTAGTAAATACTCTAGCGGTAAACAGTAACAACCATGCTCAATGCGCCGTTGCTGCCGGTAACTGATCACTAGCCGTTGCATCGGGTTCAGCCGGCGTCGTCAACCTCAACCAAGTGTACACGACAGCCGGCGAGCGGCGGCGACGACCAAACCAAATCACCACCACCACCAGAGCGGTCTGACCTTGACCCTACACCCTCTGTTAACAGCGACGGCGTCGCCGTCGAGCCTATCGACGGCCACATCACACCGCGCCCTGACGTCAATGGTCCAGGTCCGGAGCACGCCGCCGAAGCGGAGCCTGACGTGCACGGTGACCTCCACCTGCAGCGGCACGGCGCCGGCGGCCTGCTCCCGGGCGATCCTCGCCGCCTGCTCCTCCGTGAGCCGCACGCCGTTGCCCGTCATGGACACCGCCAACGCCGTCACGTTCCTCGGCGGCTGCCGGAACGCCGGCCACGGGCCCGCCGCGAGCCTCGCACTGCCGGAGTCGTAGGACACCGCCACGGCCCCGCCGCCGCGGTACTCGATTCCGACCTTCGCGTTGCGCGCGTTGTCCGCGCGCACGACGGCGTCGAGCCGCGGGGCGAGGGAGGAGGAGGAAGAGGAGAGGGCGAGGGAGGTGGCGTTGAGGCCGTGGATGGAGAGGGAGGCGACGGTGAAGGCCGGCGCGCGCGGGCGGTAGACGAGGTAGACGGCGCCCGCGAAGGCGGCGGCGAGGGCGAGGATCAGGAGGACGGCCGCGCAGGCGCAGCAGCAGGCGCGGCGCAGCGCGCGGCGCCGCGCCGGGCGGGTGGAGAGCTTCTTGTAGCGGCGCGCGCGGTCTGGGGGTGGGATGCGGAGCACCTGGTCCTTGGGTACCTGCACGATGTAGGTCCCCGGTGGTGGCGCCGCCGGGCGCGCGAAGGACGGGTGCTGCTGCAGTGGGGTTGTGTCCGTCGGCGGGGGCACCGCGCCGGCGGCGGCAGTGGTGGCGGCGCGCTGGGAGTCTGGCTGATGAGGTGGGGAGGAGGAGAGCGGCGGTGGCGCCGGGTGGACGCGGTCGGCCATGGTACGGCGGTGGAACTGGAGCCTGGAGGAGGGAGGGTGACGGTGAAGCTGGAGCTTGCAGCAGGGTGGTTGTGAGCTCTCGGTGAGACGCTGACTGAGCCGAGCCGGGGCAGCCGAGGCGTGGGAGTGAACGTTGCGCTCGTCGTTTTATGTAGGCTAGAGGGGCAGCGATCGAGCAATGGAGGGCGGAGGCCGCGCCGCGTCCGACTCCGACGACGACGAACAAGAGGAGAAGAAAAGATGGCAGGAAAGAAAGGGACACGAGGGAAACGGTCATCTCACGCTCTTTCTTACTTCACGGCTTTAAATAAAACAAAATTTAAATATGCATTTAATTCTTGAGACCAGGTGCTACCAACTTCGTTATTATTCTAACAATTTTCTAGGTTGGGAGCTGTTGTGATTTGATCATGACAGGTTTTTATTAGAATAATAACGAAGTTGGTAGCTCGAGGACAAAAACAATGGAAGCCAGCAGGTTTGGTAAAAAGCCATAGAAGAGAAGGTTCCACACTGCCGCTCCTCCTCGTTTCTTAGGCCTCGTTTAGATTATAAATTTTTTTAGCATGTTTTGTTTATTTTCTTTTTCGATTATATCAAAAAAAATACAGATTTACAACCAAACCTTGTTATTTTTTTTATCTACATTTCTGCTGTGAAACATGCATGCTTGGAATTTGTTTAAATTTTAAGTTTTTTACCCTTCTCACATAGGGGGTGTTTAAATGTAGGCTAATTGCACAGCTTTGGTTGTAAATCAGAGACTAATCTTTTGAGCCTAGTTAGTCCATGATCGAACAAAGTTTGTCAAATACAAAGCTAAAGCTATGTCAAAGTTACAAAAATACGATCTAAACAAGACCTTAGTTTTCTTTTCTTTTCTTTTCTTTATAAAAAAATACAGTAGACCTTGCTGTTTCTCTACTGTGAAACATGCATGCCTTTGTACCCTCTCAAAAAGCGTTTGGAGGACCTATAATTTGGATCAAAATCTCTCTGCTGAAGTCTTCATAAAAACGCTTAGTAAGTCAGAGAGAGAAGCCCGGTCAAACCGGCCTTTTTTAAAAAAATATTATAGTAATATTTTATCACCGATGAATGTGTGCCAGAGGCGGACTCCATGTCAAGTTTAGGGCGTTTGCTAAGGCCCATTTAGTTCTGAAAATTTTTAACTTTTGGCTATTGTAGTATTTTTGTTTTTATTTAACAAAAATTGTCTAATTATGTTTAGTTGGCAAAAAATTTTTAGATTTTTTGAATACTGTAATTAATTTTTTTTTGCTCTACATTTAGTATTTGCAAAATTTGATGTGATGGAGAATCTTCTTTTGGCTTGGAACTACGGGCCTAACTATTGCGTGTGACAGTGTGCAAACAGTTTTTGGTCGTATGAGGCTGTGTTTCTCGTAGGAATTTGGATTTTAATTAGCATGTTCGTTTTTTTTGGCAAATAGTGTTCAAACATTTAATTAGGCTCAAAACGTACATCTGCAATTTCCCACCAAACTGTGTAATTAGTTTTTCTTTTCGATCTACATTTAATGATTCATCACGAGCGCAAACATTCGATGTAAAGTTTTTTAGCTTTTGGGTGTTTAGTGAACAGGCCCTGAGACGGCCGGTCTATCTAGGTACGCGTGCAGGCTTTTCTTTCCTTCAATTCGGGAGGCATCTTTTCTATTCACACCCACCAGATGAGAACGAAAAATTCAGAGAAACAATTCGATCGGCCTTCAGCAAACTACTCCCATCGTCAGTTTATTTTAGTATTAGTGCATCCAGTCATCCAGAGTTGATAATGTGTAACAATTAACCATGCATCAGTGTCATTTGTTAAGTGATGACGCCCATATTTGATTAACTGAACAATGACATGAAAAAAAATTCCGGATTGATGCTGCTCTTGTTTGTTGTTCCAACTTCATCAGAGTTCAGACTCTGGAGGAGGAGGAGGAGGAGGCTAGTACGTTTCCAAACATTTTTTTGGACAATGAAGTACGTTTTCAAACATGGCCTGCTGAAAAATAAATAGAAGAGAGAGGAAACCATCTAAGAATCTAAGATTAAGATCAGAGGTCAGAAACAGAGTGCACATTAGCATCCTCCGGTAGTCAGAAACAGAGTACAGATTAGCATCCTAGGATATAGTACTACACCTAACCGGCCGCTAACCACCTTGTTAATCCTACCTAATCCATTATATGTATTCCGAGTATATCCTCTTCCTTGTCTGTTATGCTTGTCCAGGTCCAGGCAATGCAAATTGTCTGTTATGCTTGTCCAGGTCCAGGCAATGCAAATTTGCAGTGCCAGCTCGCTCTGCTAGGTGTTATCCACCGCCATTTCCCTTTCAGTCATCTGTGCTTGCGTGGAGTCCATTTGGAGGCTAGGCTAAGGCTACCAAGGTACAGGAGTACCAACCTGTCTCCTTGAGCCAGCTCCTGTTTCAGTTTAAGGCACTGCTATTTATCTGATTGCGTGCTCTCAGGCCTTCCCACGGCCGGCTATTTTCCTTCCGCTCTTCGTTCAGTTATATGGCCGAGTTTTATAAGTACTGTTCGTTTGGTTTATAATTCCGTACTTTTTCATTTAATAAACAATATTTTTCTCTCATAATAAATAAGTCAACAATATTTTCAGTCACGGCTTATCAGCCAAGCAAAAAAGACGATAAACTCTTAAATTTTATGGACCCTCGAGTTCATTTCATTCAAAGTCGATATTTATCTAACTTTATAAACAGTGTCTATACAAAGATATATATTAACATCTACCACACCAAATAATTGCAATATCAAGACTTCTTTTTAATTTATGGTTGGTTTGATGAGCCTAACATGGTATTTGTATATGTCGTCAGTCCATTTTTCCTAAGAACACGGTCAAACTTAGATAAATGTGACTTAGCACAAAATTGATGAAAAAGGGGTCTACATTTTAGAACTCACAGATGGTGTATATTGTATATATAAGTTACCAACAAGTAGGGCTGTTATCTATACCACCTCTATATCTCTATCTATATCTATATCTATCTCTATCTATATCTATATCTATCTCTATCTATATCTATCTATACTTAATAATAAAGAGACAAAATTTCTGCCACACATTTTTTTCGTCCAACCCTATCCAGTCCGTTTTTTACTAGGAAAGTGAGCGTGTCCTTTGACGGGTTGTTTTTTTTTTCTTTTCCGTGTTTCCGCTTTCCATACAGTTTCGTGACCGAGTTCCCGCGTCCTTTCTTTTTCTGAAAGTGTTCCTAGCCGAGCTGCGCAAGAAACTCTGGGACTCGTGCATCGGAGTCCTTCTCGTCGCTGCAGTATTGTGTCGCGTCCGAATACCGGGACACCACGACGCCGTGGCCGAGCTGGAGCAGCCTGCTGCTGGAGCTGCAACAGGTCAACGACAAGGCCGTGCTGGTGGCCGCGCACGGGGAGCAGTTGGACGACACCGAGGGCAACGCCAGCCGCGTCAGGTCCTTCATCGACCGCGGACGCTAGAAGCTGCAGGTGGCCAGGAAGCACCAGAAGAGCACCCGCAGTGGACCTGCATCGCCATCCTCACCCTCCTCGTCATTGTCCTGTCGATCCATCATGCTCAAGAACTAGACCGACCTACCGTAACAACGAGGCCAGGTAGCCGCTGGCGCGAACACCCCCTACCCCACTCGCGCTCAGGTGCAGGCATGGCCACCTGCGACGACCGAGCACCCGAGCAGCTAGACGGAGGTAGAAGACGAGTCATATTATTGTTTATTGGATTGCTGGGCGCTGGGCCGCTGGTTCATGTCGTGACTCACCCAACAGAACACGCGCTCGCTCACACCGATGACCACTCCCGTGCAGCTCTGCTGGCTCTGATCGGCACTTCACGAGGTTTTAAATCTCTCTCCGGGTATGGCTGTTTGGGATTCAAAATTTGGGCCGCTGGCGTTTCCAAACTTTGTCGTAACTCAGGCTCAAAAGATCCGTCTCGTGATTTACAACTAAACTATGTAATTAATTATTTTTTACCTACACCGATGAAAAAACTTGGAACAAGGCCCTAAATTTTTTTTATGTGCAGCTCTGCTATATCCCGCTATATCCGATTATAGTCTATTTTCGGACATAAAAAGCTAAATGGCTTAGCCGGCTATTTAAAACCTTGACACTTCATTAGTTCTTTTTTTTGAGAATTAATCAAGCAGGTTGGTCTTTCATTTTATTTGATGTATGTATGCTGACTTTTTTTTTTTGGCACAAATAGTGTTTACTCTTCTTTAAAAGGTGTTACAAAAGAAAGAAATCTATCAAGACTGTTTTTCAATTGGATACAGACCTAATATGACACTGTTATATTATTGCCAATATTAACTTATATTATAGATGTCATGGTCATTTATAAAATAAAACATAGCTTATAGAAAGAGTAAAAAAATAAATAGACATGTAACATTCCCATACTCATTTCTTATTAATATTTGATAGCTTTTTTCTCTCCCGTTGCAACGCACGGACATTTTTTCTAGTATTAATAAAGAGGCAAAATTTCTTGTCACAATTTTTTTCGTCCAACTCTAATCTCTATTCGGATTCTGGTTTTTGTCCGGCGTATCCTTATCTTTTTCTTCCTTTTTATATATCTTTTTCTTCCTTCCCATATTCGCATTGGCCCGTCCGCCTCTCTTCTTACGAGAAATCTGGCCCACTCGTAGGTACGCGCAGGCGCACGCCCCCGCCCATTGCACGCGCGCAGCGACAACGCGAGAGCAAGCGAAGCAAGTAGTCCCATGTGTGCCTTGCTCAAATGCTCCTTATTAGCTTGATGACATCATGCTTACGTCACATCTAAATGAGTCCGTTTTTCTTTATACAAAAATAAATCAAGATATACCATCTAAATACAGATATAAATAAAGGCATTCTTGGCCGTCCATCTTAAAATCTATGGCCATAATTAAAAGAACCAATAACCCTTCGTGGTGGACACGGTCCATGGTGGATTGCACCCTCATTCCGCTGCTGGTCCATGGCCCGTGGACTGGGTTCGTAGCATAGTGCTTGTCCATTTCTCAATCTAGCCCCTCCTTTATTCTATATGCACGTACTAAGCTATTTTTTAAGTCTGATAGAACTAGCCAGCTACCCCTACCATCTATAGTGAATTACAAATAGACCCTCACCGGATTAAAGACTACTTCAAAATAATGTTCTAAGTATTTCGTTTTCACAAAAAATACTACTAATTTCATAATTACTTTAGATGACAATACAAATCAGTTTTAAGTAAAAAACATTTCCAAAAAGATTTAATGTTTGGTTTTTGTGAGCAGATGGCAGTGCTTCAGGCAACACCAATGCTTTTTCTCTATATTACATGTTTATCTTAGTGTATCTTTTGGCTTGCACAGATGCATCATTTTTAATTAAAAACCAAAAAAGTACAGATACCAAATAATTAAAATTCAAATATTTGGCTGCATGACTAAATTAGTTTGTTTATACTTTTTTACCAGTTTCCTAATATGTTTCTCTCTTGATAACGTTTACACATATTGATTCCTTTGATTTATAGGAAACGAATAACCACACAAGCTTGAATAAATTGTTCTCCTGTGAAGGAATTGTTTAGCAGCTGGGGAATATGTATAGTTTTTGTAATTTGAGTGGACAGACTCGCCTGTCTTCTCCGTGCATCTCCGCCAACCAAACATGCAATCCGAGGGCGGCGGGTCTTAAAGATTTATTTGATTCACTTAAGGTTGGATTAAACCCAATTAATAAATTCGATAAAGATAGATAGTGATGTCCGAGAATCATACAACAAACCATGAGTCCCGTTGCAACGCACGGACATTTTGCTAGTAATATTAAAGAAGCAAAATTTCTTGTCACCATAAATTTTCGTACAACCTAATAATCCTAAAGTGGCTCGACTTCGGCAATCATGCAACCATCGTGTTTTTCTTTTTTTTTTACGTGGAAGATGTTTCCGTCCACGTTTCCTTTTCGGTTCCTTTTTCGTTTACTATCCATGTGTCCCATATATATACACATGTATACGTAGCGTGTGCCGTGTAGATTCTGGAATATGGATGGCGATAGGTCGTGGCGACTGGCCGGCCTCCATGCATGTTCTCCGGCGTCATCGTCGCTCTTCACGTGCCCAGCCACTGCCTGTGTCATCGTCGCTCTTCCCGTCGTTTTCGAATAAAAGAGAGGAAGGAATTGAAGATTGAATGAACCCCGTCCTCGCGTCGATGGGTATGATGATTTCTCGATCAGAATATCCGAGATCCGATTCCGACCTGGCCCATCAGGCTTCATTGATCATGCGGCGACAGGCTGAATAATTTGAACCAGTGCTTGCAGAACTTTGTTCGATTGGCCAACAGCACCTGTTGATCAACTGTGTTTTATGTCAATGCAGTAATAAAGTGAAACATTTATGTTTAGCTTATATATATCTATATGAGACCGCCGGAACAACGATGGCGCAAGGCGCGAAGACAACGGCAAGGTCGGGCAACGCCGCAACGGAGGAGCAACCTAACGAGATGGCGACGCGAGCGAGACCATGGTGAGGATGTGCGATGGCGACGACGCGGTGCGAGGTCGAGGAGAGAGGAGACGGCGACATGGGCGAGGCTACAAGTCGTTGGGGCGTGCGACCGCCGAGCCTCCATCGCATGGACCTGCCAGGCTGCCGGGACATTGTCGCGTGGAGCTACCGAGGCGTGGTCGCGTCGGGGATCCATGACCGTCGGGGTGTTGTGACCGTCAGCCTGTCAAGGCTCCATAGCCGCCTTGCAAGGCTTTAGGCGGACAAAGGGCTCAGGGTACGAGTGGATGAGGCCACGTGACTTTGAGTTCGAGCTAGCAGAAAAGGATGAGAAAGAGAAAGAAGAGAAAAAAAAAGAAAAAAAAAGAAAAGAAAAGATGGGATATTATGGATATTTTATACTACCTAAGTTATTTAACCAAACATTTTACCAAAATAGCTTCATCTCCATCGCAAGAGGTGCTCGTGGAGTTGAAATAAAAAAAGCTGCTTCACTGGTGATATTCCTCATTGATTAATTGTGTGCTATTGGTATCGACTTTAACAAAAATTGCAGGATGAAGTGTTTATACACTATGTAAATTCACTGGTACTCCGTTACATTTGTTGATTCTTTGATGCTATAATTGGAAGTGGAAGTGAAAACGTGCGCGCCTGGCCCTTGGCGCTATGGCATAGATGCAATTGATTACTTAAGTAGAAGAAAATATATTGAGCCAAAAATTATTTATATATATGTTTATGTCGAGTGCAATAAAAATATGACGATGTAAATGAAAAACTATAACTTTCAAGACAAAAAGACACAAGATGTCAAAAATTTGGATGACGCTATACCTCCCGTTGCAACGCACGGGCACTTTTACTAGTTATAATAATGTATTAACGTGCACTGACCAATTCTCTTGTTTGTCAGCTTTAAATCGTGCTGGGCCGGCCGGTGAAGTCTGTAGCACACAATTGGTCCCAATCCCATCATATCATATCATAACCACAAGAAGCGTGCACAAAACCAAAGCAGCCGATGAGCAGAAGCGCGAAAACGCGTAGACGATGTACATATATATGTGCACGCATCACATGCTAGTACAATAATATACACTTGCAGTCTTGAGGCATGTTTCAGCAACCCAGAGCTGTCGGTTACATTACATTACATTACATTACATTACATTACATTACATTATGCCTACTTACCAAACCTTCAGAGGTTCAGACAGTCAGCCACCGCACGCGGTTCGCTTGTACTTGGAGGAGCCAACCTTTCCATACCCATCATCCAACGCGCAAACGAGCTACCCTCTCCAGTCTTCTTCTTCATCTTCTTCCAACAACTCCTGCAGTTACCAGTTATACATGTCTTCTTCTGGATCAGGAACGACCTCACCACTCAGACTAGCAGTACTACGCATCAGTAAACACATGAAACCAAAACAAACGAAGAGAATCCAATGTATAAAAACCCTGCACTCGGCACATGAAACAACCAGCGATCCATGCTACTACCACCAAACTGCATCACCCTATTTTGTCCATCATCCAAGGGGAAAAAAAATAGAAAAGGAAGAAGTAGGAACAGACGAATTGAACAAAAAAAAAAACATATCAACATAGACATGCGCACTCCATTCTCTCCGCAGATCAAAAATATACATCTGAGAAGACGATGATGTCTCCCATCCACCACCCTCAGGATTTAGCTAGGCTACCTGCACTGCACCCTGTGATCAAACATCAAACATCACTCCCACATATCTCTTCAGCTGCCTGCCTGCGCTTCAGTAAGAGTAGATTAAGCGCTTTCAAGTGATTCTTTGGCCTCAAATACTTTGGTATCATTGGATCCAGATGTGCCAGCATCCGAGTTTAGCTTAGCTGAATTATCCACGATTACTTCACCATCTTCAGGAATCTTCATCTTGTCACCGCCACCGATGCTTAACTGCACATAAGTAGGATTGGTATCATCCCAGGCCGGCTTTGCATCAGGAGCTAGCACACCACAATCATCAGTCTGTGTCTCTCCAGTGTGCTGACCAACAGACATGTGCTCTGACTCTGACCTACCAGCACGCATCAGTGCTGGCCCTGCTGCTGCTTCTTCCAAGTGCCTGAACAGTGAGCTCATCTCCTCAACCGAGCTTGCTTTTAGAACAGGAAGCCCACCATCTTCAGTTAGCAGCTCCTTCGGTCCACCTTCACCTTCGACGACCTTCACAGCCACTAGACTGTCGTCAAGCGAGCGGTCTGAAGAATGGCCATCTTCAGTATCCCCATTTTCCACGGGCAACGCTTCACTTGGCCTGTCTTGGATTGGCTGATCATCATCACAACTGGGGATAGAAGCAGAGGGTGCTAATAATGCTTCTCTGTTGAGCTGAGCAAACTGTGAATTCAGATCTTCTACTGATCTTGCTTCAATCAAAGGTATTCCAGGTTTGGCGTGTAAGAAATTATCACTAAGCTCATGCTCAAGTTTAACCATCAAGGGTTGGCCTATGCCGGACTCTGAAATGGACTGCACTAGCACTTCCTCCATGCGGCACTTGAATAACGAGTTAACTTCACTCATGGAGTCTTCCTCTTCAACTTCAACCGTATGTTCCTCAGTATTGTGTTCTTCAGATAGAGAACACAATACCGATTGCTCATTACCTGCATGTTATCAGCCCTACTTGAGTAAATATTGCAACTAAATAATTTGCGTAGCTATAATATAAAAAGTGACCCATATTACCTGCAGAAATTGAATCGTTCACATCTGACGTGCTGGACATTGATTTTTGGACATAAAAGGAATTTGTGCCGTTGATGGAATCAGTGCTGCCTTCATTAATTCCATGATTTGCTTCTAGCACACACACATCTGAAATTGCGGCGCTTAGTATTTTGATCTCATCACCAATATGTGGTTCCAGTGAGCCAAATAACTTGCCATTGTTGTCAAGTGGTTGCTCAGAATCGCTTTCTGAGTGATTGTCAACAGCAACTTTTTCACTGAATTCAGACTTCTCCAGTTTTATGCCATTGTGATGCCGCGGATAAGTAGACGGCCTTACATACAAGCTGTCACGTTTCCTACCCTGTGCTGACGAGAAGCCTGAGCGAGGAGTCCAAGTTTCCTGCAAATGGCTGTCGTGGTCCACAATTTGGTCAAATGGAATATCAAATGGTTTCCTCCAGGGAAGCAGAGCAGATGGCGCTGAATCAGGAACCTGTGGTAACTCCACTGTATCCTCTGAATCATTTGAAGGATCGGGCCTTGGTGTGGAAATGGAGGGCACCTGAACACGGAAGCGTGACGCCTCCTCCATTTTCTGAACTGCATCAGCGGCCTGCATGTCCATTAACCTCCTGTCAAGTTCAAACTTCAGAACATTCTTTGCTTTTCGCCGTGCCATCAAACTCTCCAAATTCCCATTCTTATCAGTATCCAAAGAGTTTGGATCCACAAAGCCCTTCCAGCTACTTTCGTCATCTCTCTTCTCTTCTTCTACATCATCATCTGAGCTAAGGTTACCATCCTCCTCCTCTGAGTCATCTTCATCTTCATCTTCATCAGATGAGCCGGCGTTCAGGTTGTCTCTGAGGGCTGAGCCAGGGTGACTAGTCCCCAAGTCTACAGGTGGGTTCAGTTCATCTAGCATCGGTATGATGTCAGTGATCGATGCATCAGAAGAGCTTTCAGTAAGATCTGACTCAGAATCAGAACAAGGGTCCTGTCGCGTAACAGGCTGCCAACATGAGCTCATGAGTTCACCGAACTGATACTGATGGTTCACTTCATACTCATCGTGACACCTTTCTGTAATGGTGCTCTCAAACTGTTGCGGCGGCGCAACCTGCTCGCAGATTTCCTTAACATGCTCCTCTTCCTCTCTTTCAGCAATGATACCATTATTCTTGCCAAACCCGGAAGGTTCAGCACAAAGAACAGTATCGGTGGACAAAGATGTCACATTTCCTTGATCACACTGAGTATCAATAAGCAAAACACCTTCAAAAGTTTTGTCCCCAGTGTACATAACTGGACACTTGAATCTCGTCCCCACATTAACCTTGACGGCAACATTCTCAGGCTCTTCAACTGAAACACCTTCAGCAGCGCTGCTCTGAAACTGCTGCAGCTCAACCTTGTCGCAGATTTCCTTCACATGCTCCTCTCTTTCCACAATAACAACTTCATTCTTGGCAAGTTCAGAAGCTTCTGCACAGCCAACGGTATCAGCAGACACAGACGTGACAATACTGTCCTCATCACGGTGGGTATCATGGAAGATCCTATCAGAAGTTGCTTCCTCCATGCAGACAACTGGGCTCTCAAACAAACTCCTTGACATGTGGGTGACGGCGACATTCTGAACCTCCTCAACCACTGAACATTCAGTGATGGATGTTCTCGATTCAGGGGACAACGATTTTTTCTGGCCCTGCAGTGCTTCCTCTCTGATCACTGGAGCACTTGGCTCCCCATAACTCAACAACGCTCCAAGAAGAAGTGCAGTTAGCAGGAATACTGGGGACGAAGACAGGAAGAAAGTAAACAGAGAAGGGCAGAGTTTGTGTAGGAACAGCAGCAGCATGCCGATGCCGAGTGCCCCAGGATAGTCAGAAGCAGATTGGTAGGCAAGCCTGACAGAAGAATGCAATGTCCTCTTGATGTGCAGCAGAATGTTGTCTGCATCAAGTGCCATCTTTGTCCCCTTGACTTGGATTCAGGCCTGGGATGCAGATCTAAACTGGAAGCAGAAAAAGGGAGGCAGATCAGTGTTGAAATGCTGTCCAATGACACTGAAACTAGGTTGTGTAACAATGTGCAGGAAGGAAGAACTGATATTTGTGTAAGAAAATAAACTAAGTTGATGCAGAGGCCGGATTGCTATTCCTTTATCTAAAAAAAAAACAAGTTGATCAGATTATACCAGTGATTCACCAACCTTATGTAAATAAACTAAGTTCACTGATTTCCAAACAAAACTGGCTACTAGCACCACTATGTAAAGTGATTTATAAGTACATGCGTAGAACGAGATCAGCCCAAACGAAACGAGGGGAAAGGAAACTAGCAGTAAGATGATGGTATGGTACTACCAATAACAGGTAAAAGAGCCGACCGCTACGGGAATTTGCAGATCAAACCGTCACTATGAAAACTTTATATACAGAAGGAAAGGAAGAGCTACGAGGGCATGAATGAAGCATGAGGCTTCGGCTGCAGAAGGATCCATCAAACAATGGCTACGGGGTTAAAACGAAAAAAAAGAGTAGCACAGACAGCGCAAGAAACAGAAATCGACAGTAGCAGGAGCCAAGAAACGGCGTCAGGCGCACCTCAGCGACGAGGCGGCAGGCGAAGAAGAGCTTGTTCTTGCCCAGTTGCCCTCGGAAGTAGAAATGCCTCAGACGAACGCCGCAACAGGCGATGGGTTTGGCGGATGGGGAAAGCAAGACGGGATGGGGATGGAGTGACAGGGGAGCTGGTGCTGGAACAAGGAAGGGGAATAAAGCGAAGCAAACAGCACGAAGCTGCAGTGCAGTGTGTCTCTCCTTTTTCCTCTACTAGGATTCTTTGCTTTGGAGGCAGCGACACCACGCCTCCACCGGCAGAAATGCTTTGGCCGGCCGGCACGGAAAGGCAGCGAGCGGCGACCTGGTGCCGGCGATGCCTACGGGCGGGCGGCCTGCAGCAGGGGGGAAAGGGAAAGTTGCGCAGGGTCGCAATCACGGCATCAGCCAGCCAGCCATTGAACTGATCCTAATCGTAGCTGTCTGTCGTGGTCGCCTCGTTGGCTGCCTCATTTCATTTCTTCCTCCCAATAATCCATTCTGACCTGGCTCCTGCACTCTGCAGTTTACAAGAGTTGGGACCATACCCTACCGTACAGTACAGCCTCGAGAACTGTGCAGGACTGCTCACTGAAATTAATGGCAGCCATCAACCTCAACCCAGATCATTTACCTTCACCAAGAAATACATTTCTTTACATATACAGTGGGTAAAAAGAAAAAGAAAAGTAAAAAGAAAAAGAAAAAGAAATCTCAACCAGTTCACAGATGGTAGCAGTACAGCAGTACAATGATGGTGCAGCATGCGGTCAGCTTCTCTTTTCTTGTGGGGTAGCCGGGTAGGGGAGGGTAGTGGTGGGGCGTGCAGGTGCAGCGATGAATGGATGGATGAATCCATGCCTGCCCTGCCTCTGCTCGCTTTAAGTTTTTATTTCACACTCGATCGATCGATGGTACGTAGGCTAATTTGATGTGCTAGTTTATAAATAATGCCATGCCAGACTGGGATCTTCATTTTTAACAAATTTGATGTACTCATTTTTTACGAATTAATTACAATGGAAGTATCAGCTCAGAAACATTGACTGACTTATAATGTATGTGTCAGAATCAAAAGGAGGGTTCAACAAAAAGGTAGCACCAACTGCATCCACACTAAACTCAGTCAGCACACCGTTCCGGTTGGCAGAATTTTGATTGAAACTGGCTGAAAAAACACTGTTTTTGCTGAATTATTGTGAGAGAAAAACACTGTTCCGGCTGAAAAAAGAAGCCGAATAAATCGAATATGGAGTAAGCTGAACGGGCCAGGACGATGGCTGTCATATGCACCAGGCAGGTTAGCTAGCAGAGTAGTACGAGTTCATGCTTAGCCTGTTCGTTTTGGCTGAATTGACTTATAAACCATGGAAGTACTGCTTGGCTGGTTTGGTAGAGAGAAAAATCACTGTTCAAGCCGTGGATTATAAGCCAGATACGAGCGAATAAGCCGAAACGAACATGTTGTCAAAAGGCTTTTAGTTTTAGCGCCAATAATTCGGAAGTTGCTCCATACCCTGCCAGAAAAATACTACAAGGGACCGGAGAGCTCAACAAATGTTTCAAAAAGTGACGTGGGAAAAAAGGATGGAAATATGAAAGTACACATTTACGACTTTCAGTAACCACATGTTTTGAGGTGATTACAGTAACCAAATGGAACTGTGGTATTGGTTATATATTCTAGAAAAGGGACACCAGGTTAATTACTTTCTCTTTTCTGATCCCTTTCTTTGTTGACTTTTTATTTGTTCCTCACCGCAAACATGACGTCTTCGTGAGCCGACACTTTTGCTACTTCCATGATGTTCTGTCAAATTCAGTGAACGGTGAACACAGTTTCCATTTGGTAATTATAATTTAATTGAACCACATACGTTTGCAGCATATCCCAGAAGAGTAGAAGATTTCTGAAACTCTGCCTGGTCATCATTGTCACAAAAATAGCCTGTAACTTCTGTTGTAGATGTTTAAGGAAAGGCACCGACGGCCATTTTCCCCTGATAGCACTTTATTAGCTTAGTATATATAAACAGAAAAGTAAAATATTCTGGTGTGTTAATATTAGTTGAACAGAACATCTCTGATGTAAGCATGGAGAAATTCTATAATAGAATCAATATTTTCTGAACCCAAATGCACCATTGCACCAAGCATCACATTAAGGATAAGTGCATCCAGTTCCTTAAAAAAAAAGGATAAGTGCATCCGACACAGCAAGTTTAGAAAAATCTGTTAACAAACTGATGATTACTTGCATAATTATGATTGTTTGTACTCAGAAGCTTGTCAAGGAAACTACTTTCAATAGTACCCTGCATATTTCTGCAGTTGGTGCTGACAGACAGTATTCTTCCAACTCCAATGGGAAACAAATCAATGCAAACGTTGGATACCTCCAGATTACTGTGCCCCACGCCAAGAGTTTTGCTTGCCAGTGACAGTGTTAGGGAATGGATGGACATCCAAATCCAAACATAGGAATCCAGCTGAAGTCCAATTAAAGCAACACTCCTATCCAGTCCAGTCATAATTAGTAGAGACGTCCAATGCAGTCCAATCCAACTTCACCTAAATCTAAATCCATCCAACAAAATCCAACTAGCTACCTGTTTAACACAAACGCCCGCACAGCCTAGCGGAGCTTGCCAATCCAAATACTAATCAGACTAAACTTACAGCTAAGACTGATCCGAACTCTATGAGGCATCTTATTCTTGCTGAAAAGCATAACAAAAAAATGATTTCCAACAGGGAATGTTCTACAATGGTTCTCTGATCTCCTAAGAACATTACTGTCAACTAGGTTGGTTGTTAACATCAACCAGTATAAAGAAAAAGACCATTAGAAAAAAGGATGAATCAGAACCCCCAAAACTGGCAAATGCAGAAACAAATCTTTGCCCTAAAACATATCAGGCGTTCATCATTCATACATCACATGTGTGCTCGTCTCCTCACAATTTGCAAGCAAATACAGCAAAAAACTGCAGAGTAATCGATAATATCATTTTTAACTTAATAACTGAAGGCTGAAGCTAAAGCTGTATATGCTATCAACACATCTTTTTGAACTGAATCAAAGGAGTAGCCATAGTATCCTTAGGACCTAAGCAGAAGAATTTAAGCTGTAGATGCTAATTTGTATGTCTTTTGAACTGAAGGGTATGCAACTAATAGAACCTAGAAAGCCACTGAAGTCATATAGTGGTACAACCTCCAAATAATTCTACAAATTAAGCAGTTTGCTATTCTCGTCGTCACCTTCAGTTGACCTGTTCACAGGACGGGTCATAGCCACTAGACCCGTAGTAGCCGCCACCAGTGAGGTCACTCCACCGGTCAGAAGCATAGTCGTCTGCAGTACTGGGACGTGGCTGAGAGTGAGTAGGCACACGAGCCTATAGTGGTAGAGTGTCAGGGTGCTGTGGTGCCTGCTGCTTGCTGCTGTTGTTGCTGAAGGAACTCAGCATACTCTATCATATCTGGCCTGCAGCTGCTCCCCAGTCTCAGGCTCACTAGTTGCCTCATCTAATGGTGGAGACCTAGGAGGATCAAGCTCAAGTCTGGAAGCAATCTGCTTCAATGTCCGAGTATCCTTCCTCCTAGCCTCTCTTTCCTTCTGCTGCCTGGTTTGGATGTCTCTGCACATCCCAAATATGGAGCTGAAAAGCCTGCGGATAGGCGAGGGAGGACTGCCACGGCGTGAAGAGGAACGTGGAGGTGCATGTGGTGAAGGTGAAGCTCCTGCTGCTGCACCACTCTCAGGTGCATCTGCCTCAGTTGTACCTGCTCCTCCTCTTGGACCTGCTGGAGGTAACCCTATCTCAGGCAAGTCAGCAACAATCTTCAGGGTCTTGTGAATCTTGTCATACTCGAAAGTGTGCCCTGTGACCTACTCAATCATATACATGATATAAGGAGCAAATCCACAGTCCTTGAGGGGCCTTTCTCCCACACTCCTGATATCTGACCAAATGAAGTCAAACATGCTGAAAGGCCGAGCATCAGGTGCCATCCTATGGAGCGGGTTCCTAGAGTAATATGCAATGTCCCCTTGTCTCCATCCTTGCAGTCAATAGTCTTCCTGAACATCCTGTCCAGGTATCTGTAAGTGGGGTGAAGACCTAGAACCTTCCCCACTGCTCCTCTCTCACCACCTGGAGGATACATGTAGGCGAGCTGCTCAGGAGGTAACACCTGCTCGGTATGGATCCTGTCCCTCTAGAGATCATCCTCTGAGAAGCCAAGCTGGGCGGCAAATACATCATAGTCAACACTATACCACTGGTCCTCAAGCATCCAGTGCATCCGCCTCTCATCCTCCTCAACAAACAGATTAGCATAGAACTGAGCTACTACCTTAGTG